TTTAAAAATTAAAAAAATAAGTTATAAAAGCAGTTATTTTATTATTAAAATATCTACAAAAAAAAAAAAAAAAGAATTTTTTATTTTTCTTTTTTTGTGTATAATCTGTTTGGAATTCAGAATTAGTAACTTTTTTAAAAAACCAGGTTTTTTTATTATTGTGACGCAAATGACACAAATAAATTTTTAATATGAATGTACAAAGTAATTTTCAGGTATCAAAAATTGTTTAACATAATAAATAAATATATATATATAGTTATTATTATTCCAATTTTTTAATTATACATATAGAATGAATGAGTAATCCAATTATTCTTTTGACAGGATTTTGTTTTAGGTAGTAAGTTGATTTCTTTTAATTAAATGTTGTTATATGGAATAATGATATTAACTATTTTTTTCAACAGTTTATCAGATTCTCAAAACAGCATACTTCTTAGTGGGGAGAAAATTATGATGGGTTAAGGGTCTAGTATAATTAGTTCATTTATAAAATATTCTATCCAAGATTCCGCTTATTTTTAGGTTCAACATCATACCGAACCCAGGTCACCGTCATCAGCATTACAACAAATTTGGGATCAGTCATGTTTCTAATTTTAAAACACGGCTACCTTCCATTGCAATGATTTTATTAGCTTCTAATCATTCGTCAATGTGGTGATGAGATTTCTTTTCATTACGAAAACTTTCCTATGTCTCCTGCAAGTCATTCTTCATATGTACGTCCTTTTTGGTTAAATATTGAGTACTTGAGAGAAACCATTTCATCCTCACAATCTTGAGTTTTCCTTAATAACTAGGGGGCCAGAAATCAAGCAAAAATTTTCTCATTCATCAACATATTAATATTTTTTGTATGAATTTTACTTTTGGGGAAGCACATTATTGAATGGTGGAAATTTATATATGGATGATCGACATATGAATACAAAGAACAATCATGTGATTTATTTTAAAGTTTAAGTTTATATAACTAAAACCTTCGAATCCATTTTAAACCTTTTTTCTGTCAAAGTAAACGAAAAAAAAATTTATTAATCTTTGAGTTTTATTATACAAGAATAATAATGTGGTGGAACAAAAGTATAATACAAATTTTTATGCAAAGGTACTCGATTAGTCTTTTTCGTGACATTTTTCCCTCGCTAATTATATAACGTTCACTCCTTCGTCAATTAAACGATGTATACGATTATACTGATTTACTATTAACAGTATTCTCATTGGATTGGCTGCGTTTGGTTTTGCAAAAACTATACCAGGAAAATGTCAAAATATTTGTGATCCAAATATATCAATCAATAATTCTACTAATTCTAATGTTATTACTCCAAACTCCTCCAATAATCTTAATTTAGCGCCGTCAGCTAATAATGACGAGAGTAATTTTAGTTTCAGTGATAACGCTTTGACGGATTCTGCGACAAACACTGCGAATGATGCAATAGATGACGGTAAAGATAAGTGTAATACAATTTGTAAAAAAGGGGTTTTTGACGCGTTATATTATGGCGGTATCGGATTTATTGCTCTTGGTGGATTCATGCTTGCTATACAAGTATTTTGTATGCTGTGTAGGATTGGTTCGAGTGGAGGTAAAGGATCTGGTTGTTGTTATTGTTGCTAAAGAGAATGAGAAATAAAAAGACTTATGTGCAGGACATATATATATTAATAAATAAAAAAAATTTTTTTGTATATTTTTTCATTTCATTAATAATTTTAAAAATTTATTTTATTTATTATTTAATATTGATTTTATTTTATTTAAAATATTGATTATAAGATATGTAAAGAAATAAAAAAAAAGGTCTTCAATACTAGCAAGTGCTCGATTTGTTCCGAGCACATCGCCATCAATTTTGACATCATGATAATCTATTGTTGGAAATTCATGGCGTCAATCATGTGATCCAAATTTATTACAGTAAGAGTTGATTAAAAAGATAGTAATAGGTGAATATTGATTATTATTATTATTATTATAATTATCATTCCTACTATTTTTATAATAAT